AATAAGGTTAAACTAATTGTGTGGTTTATTTAGTAACAAAATGGCATTATCATAATAAGAATAGCGAACTACTTTCCAGCGTTAGCTTGCAAAAGGATCGATTGTGGTAAATGGTACAATTAGCATCTTTCCTACAAATGCAAGGCAGGTGGACTGCCAAAAAATAACCGTAAACAACATTGCAATACAAGGGATTATAAATGATTAAGAATGTGTTTGACTGATTTTATATTTATGGAAAATGTCATTTTTTAAGGGGAAAATTCATAATCAATGTGTATTATTTATACTAATTCAAAAATCAGGTAGATAATTTGAAAATTCAAAATTCAGGTATATATTTAATTAATTAAAAATATTTATTGCATAAATAAAATAAAGTCACGGTTATGCGATTAATGGTCACAAATTCATAATTATAGGTCACATATTTATTTACTGGTAACATATCATCAAATTAATTGATCATAGATCAAAAAATTTACAGGTCACAGATCATTCAAATTACAGGTCGTAGTTTATCCATGGGTCACATATTTTCAAGTTTATTAGTCATAGATTAATAATTAGTCCAAATAGTTGGTCACATGCACCAAACACCCCCACCACTGGTCCTTATCCAGCACCAATCTTGGTTACAATCCACCACCACACAATTGTCGCTTACACCACACCACCATAACATCACCACCGCCGCTGTAGCCCAAAATTGGCACCATAATCACCACCCCAACCTCACCACCAAAGCCATCTCCACTACCACCAACAAAACACACAACCAAATAGTTTGGTCACATACATCAAACATTCCACCCCCGATTGGATCCCCCACCAATACCTGTCACAGATTGGTCGGTCACAAACATTATCCCACCCCCTCCTCCACCACACTATTCCCACAACCACTACCAACAACAAAAACGACATAAACACAACCACCACCACCACCATCACAGTCCCCTACCACCAGCCAAATTGAACAAAACCCCAAACGGCCAAATCTACCAACAACACCACATTACTATGACTTGCATCACCATCGAAAGCCTAGTCAACTTTCACCACCACCACCATCACAATCCCTTACGACCAGCCAAATTCAACAAAACCCCAAACGGCCAGATCCACCAGCAACACCACATTATCATGACTTACATCACCACCGAAAGCCTAGCCAACTTTTACCACCACTACCATCACACACCACCACCACAGCTACCAACAAGCCATTGCAGTAAATTTAATTGGAAAATCACCAACAAAAAAACCTCCCACAGTAGATCGGTTAAAAAAATCCCCAAAAAAACACCGAGGCCTCACTTTGCAGTAGCATGACCTCACTGTGTGTAGTGACGCTGTCCGCAGTGAGGCACCATCGTAAGCAGCCAGGTTTTTCATGGCGGTGCTACTGCTTCGTCGCTTTGAGAGTAAGCACCGTTGCCTGCTGGTGCTGTTGTCATTTGAAGCCGTCGAAATAAGGAAAGTGATAGGCTGAGAAGATGGTGGTGCCACGCTGGACGATGGTGGGTGTGATGCGGAACAGTGAGGGAAGGGATAGGTCGAGATAAAGAGATGAGAGAAATGGGGTAAGGGAAAATGAGAAGGGAAGAGAGATGAGAGAAATAGGGTGGGTGAAGAAGATGAGTGCGTGTTTTTAATTTTTAATTTCTTATATTTTAAATTATTTATTTTTAGAAGAATAAATCGAAAATTACTCTTTTGCCCCTTTATAAAATATTAAAAATGTGGTTAAAATTAAATTTCTGGTCAACTGAAGAAATTTTGGATAGAAACCGTCTAAAAGGGCTTCACTTGCAACGTTTGGAAATGTTAGGGGTGACGTCTATAACAAATCAAAGGTTAGGGGTGATGTCTGCAACAAATCAAAGGTTTGAAAAAAGTCTGATAACATTTCAAATGTTTTGGGCTTCTGCTACAATTTTCCCTACTTTTAGGTTAAAAATTAAATCAATCAAACATATTTAATCAATAATTTTCATACAAATAAGTTCTAGGCAATTGAATAGCTTAAAATTTATATTATTTTCATATAAATTCTATGGTCCCAATGAAACGCACCCTAAATAGAAAACGAGATCTCTTGCGGTAATTTTTGTCAATGATTTTATTTGATGCTATGCTTTAAATCTATGGTGCATCAATATACAATGTTGATGTCTAGAATGAATCATTTGTTTATTATACATATATTTTTACTATTTTATATATGTTCTTTTTTTTAAAAAAAAAAAAGGTTAAACTTTGTAGATATAAAGTTTTGAACGGATCAAGTAAGAGCAACTCCAATATTCTTGGTATAAAATAGATCTAATTGTTACTTAGATTTCCAAAATATTTGAAAACCTCTCCAATGAAGAGATATAGAGGAAATGCAAATTGCACTTTTGATAGAAAATGTAAAAAAGACATCTACACAAGGCAAAAAGTGGATTTAGATTTTTCCATTGGTGCAAAATTTGAATTTAGCCCTTGTTTGATTCCCTTTACTCTGATTTATTTCTCATACCCATTTTTAACCACATAATTATACAATAAAATATTTTACACATAAATCCAAAAAAATTTCTTAATTTTTAATCCCACATTCTCAAAAAAATACTATTTGAAACTGTGTTTTTAAAATTTTAAGGCCACCAAATTGGGGATGTTTAGTAAAATTCAGCAAGCTTACCAGATCATTGAAAAGTAATAGATGTGATGAGAAGATTTATCGTCACACGAGAAATAAATTTTAATTCAAGTTTATTAATTTTGTATTGAATCCGAATTATGTAACATAAGATAGATGATTCTGTGATTATTCTAAATTAAATCTATGAAATATGAAAAAGTGTTGTTTTTGTATCAAATTATGAATGATTGTATTGGATTCAGAGTCCGTCTATCGTTATCTATTTCAATTAAATCTAATTCTATTCACATGTTCTTGACAATTGATAAAATTAATGTATTTAATTTTCTTTTCCAAGATAAATTAACTCTATTCTAATCACGAGCCGAATCTATTCCTAGCCCCAAATTCGAATGTTTAGAATGCATTAAATTTTAGATTATTTATATGATCGTACATGTAATAAATATTAGGAATAACATCTATTGCACATCTACTAATTTTGTTGCCTTCTAAACTTCTTGTGAGTCTTCCAACACTACAACTAGCAATCAATTATCTAATTGATGGCCAAATAGTTAAATAATGCAATGCGTATGCAAATTTATCAAGAAACAAATGAATTACTAAACTACTAGTCTTAAATGAAAAATAAATAACAAATCGGGTTCATCTTCATCCAATACAAATATTAATCTAGCCTAGCATGCTTTTAAATAAATTATAAAAGAATAATAAAAAATATCGCCCAAATCATGAAAATAATGCAAGAAATCTTAATCTTTGATTTCAAGGTTAAATTTTTCAAAATTTTGATGTAATTGGCTTTAATTCCTTGCTTTGGTTTGATCTTCTCTTTCAAAAGTGATGAATTTACCTTTTGTTCTTGATAAATTTGATGATATTTATTGTATACGAAGATGCAAGAAAGAGTATTTTTTTCCATGGTTTCCCATGTCTTGTATTATATATAGTTTTTAAAAAAAAAAAAATCCAAGTTGAATTTCAAAGGAGTTTCAATCAAATAAGGAAATTTGTTTTTCGCGCGCACATGATTATGTCTCTGTACAATTTTCAATATTTTGGTTATAATTTTAGCTTCTGATATCCGATTCAAAGTATTTGAAAAGATAATATAAAGAGATACAATTCATCTAGCAAGTGAATATCTCCGATTTGAAGGTTTACTATTTGAAAAATGGGTCTCAATCTTTCACTAAAAATATTGAATATATTTTGTGCGTTTGGAAATTGATTTGTGGTCAATCCTTTGCTTGTATTTCACTCATTTTTTTGACTTGTAATTACATCCAAATGATTCCTAGTAATTTTCAATTATCATTTTGTGGTATGGATCAACTATTGGATATTTGCAATTTAATCTCGAACTTTGTATTCCTTTATTTTTCGCCCCGTCTTTCCTTCCTTTTGTGCAATTCACCCAAATTATATCAAGTTTTACCTAGCAAAAAAATTAACATTTAACTAAGCCACAAGTAATCAAAATTAATTATAATTAATAACATTTAATGATCCAAATAAGTGTATAAAATACACTTACCAATCCACCAAGATTTAAATGAGGATGCAAAAGTAGTTTTAGAAATATCAATTTACACATATTTTAATCACCATTTGAGATGCTCTAATGTTAAAATGTAATGACGATAATTATAATATTTTTCAAAAATTTTGAAATTATAGTGTCATGGATATATACAACTATTGTGGATGTTTAAATGAATGAATTTAATAAAAATAATGTTATAGTGTAATGTGGATGAAATAATAATTTGAAAATTTGAAAATTTTAATACGGATGGATTTAGAGTGGGGCAAACATATAAAAATAATCGATAAAAATAATGGCTCTCTTTATGAATTGAAAGTTTTAGAAAATGTATACTTACAAATTAGAAATTCTAAAATTTTGTATAAATCAAATGAAATGCAAAGGGAAATGCATAAATGTCAAAATAAAGATTACATTTTAGTTTTAAGTAATGAAACAGTGAAATTGGGGTTTTTCTAAGATATTTTATGTGGATTTTTGTTTGAATTTCAAGTGACTGAAGAACATAGAATGTCCACTAAATTTACTTGACAAAAAAAATATCCTATTATTGTTCGGCTTTGTC